TCTCATCAACTATATTCTATCTATGTCTTTCTCTCAAACATATAAAACAGATCTCAATGCTGGAGAAATCCTCCAAATGTTTGGGAAGATGTTTTTTGTCTTTTGTCAAGAATCTGGATATGATACCATCTTGCGCGTCCTGGGATCTAATGTCAGAGAATTTCTGCAGGTAAGGAATTTGAGGTTTTAGAGTGAAAAGTTCTGAGTTACTTGTGCTTAAACATAGTCTACAGAGTACTTGTGTTTAACCAGATGGAAAAGAAATTAAATTATAGTGATCTTTTTCTAATCCTCATAAAATGATAACTATTGGGTGATCTTTAGTATGTTTTAGCATTTTGATATGTTATTTTGTTTTTGATTGCTAACATCGAATATGCAAGTTTGAAATTACTGTTCTCTGAAAAATACAGCATGGTTTATTGTGATCTGTACATATGTTTTTCTTTCAATGGTATTGTGGTTTCATGCTTTATAAATATGATCTTATATTTTCTATTTGTGATGTATTCTTCGTTAGTTCAGTATAACTAAATAGTATTATTAGCATTTGTCAGAATTGACTCAATGGCAATTCATTACAAAGAGCTTGTTGTTAAAGATAGAGCACAATGGCTTTTTAGTCTATTTGAGAGCTATTGCTCTGAGTTACATATTAATTAGTTCACTGTAGAAGGACAGTAAGAAATCTTCTGAAGTTAGTTTCAGGGAAAGTAAAAGATAAATTATGTCACCAACAGCCTTGTCTTACACTCCTGTTAAAATTACATTAGACGTTTTTTTTACTAGTAAATTACACATTAAATGAGAGGCTATTTCTGGACTACCCTATTTTAAGCACTGACATTTGTGAGACCCTTTTCTTGAAATGTGTTAACACTGAAAATTATGTGCTCTTTTGTAATGGATAGTCTTAAACTGGCTGCTGAAAGCCGTCAGATCTTGCTGGAAAATGATGTCAGTGCAATACTAGTTGAACCAAAGCCCAGTTTTGAGGGAATGTAAACTACTTTCAATCCAGCTGCATTATTGATTTAACAGCCAAAATAAGAACTTTAGTGTTTAATCAAAATGTCTGTTGTTTACATAGTGACATTTTTCGTATAAACTTAAAACAGCATTAAATCAAGATGGAAACGGCTTTGCAGTTCCCTGCCACAGATTTACCAAGCTACTGGTGTCAAAGAAAAAAAAAAAAGCTGCCACTTCCAAATGAAGCAGCTGCCAGGAAATTTTAAATTGAAAATTGCTGGTGTAGTTATGTGCCATAGAGTCAGTTCTGACTAGTAGCGACCCTGTAAAGATTACGGGAGCAGAAAACCTCATCTCTCTCCATGGAGCTGCTGGTAGATTTAAACTGCTGAACTTGCGGTTAGCAGCTCTACATGTAACCCACTTTGCAAATTAAACAGGCTGTTTTTAAATGGATCTTTTAAAATAGATTGAAATTTTATATTAAAAGGATTTTGAGATGTTTGCATTTTTAATACAAGTTCCATTTAAAATTCTTTGGTTGACCACTGTTAGACAAATTTCAAATTTCAGGTACTTTTTCATATTTCTAAATTTCAGTCTCAAAGGACATATATGTTTACAAAGCTATTTCAATATTCAATGGTTTTTACATCTATTATATTGTGACCATCTGATATGCTTGTTATGGGACAGTAAGAACACAAGCATTCTCTAGGTGTTCCCCAATACTTATGTAGGTGTTCCCCTATACTTATGTCCAATAGGATAGCCACTAGCCACATTTGCAACGAGATATCCTGTAAGTATAAACCACCACCAGATTTTAAAGACAGAGTACAAAAGATGAAAAGTGCAAAATAGTTAATTAATAATTTTTTTATTGATTACATGCTGAAATGATAGAATTTTGCATATAAAGGGTTATAATTAAATATATTATTAAAATTATTTCAATCTGTTCCTTTCCCCTCTTTTTAATGTTGTTGTTGTTGTTGTTAGGTGCCACTGAGTTGGTTCTGATTCAAAGTGACCCTGAGGTTTCCGAGGAGTGGCTGGTGAATTTGAACTGCTGACCTTGTGGTTAAACCGACCTTGTGATTCAGTGCTTTATCCTACAGTGCCACATCAGAAAATCTGACTACTAGACAATTGGGGAAGCACTTTGCTTCTTTCCATATGATAAACACTGGACTGCAAACCACAAGGTCCAAAGTTCAGGTCCCCAGCAGAACCTACTAGAGGGCACTTAACAACAGCTAGAAAATTTATCATTGCAAATGTGGCTCACATTTGTGGCTTGCTTTAGTGACTCCCCTTTTATGTCACCCAGACAGTGTGGTATGTAATGTTGCTTCAGATACTTCCAGACTTTTTTTTTCCATGTCAGTAGACAGCCTTAGTTAATATATGTCTAAATCACATTGCATTTTTTTTCATTTTTGTGAAAAATTGTGATAATGAAGAAGCCAGAAAGTTAGAGCATTAACAGTTCTTATCAATATTATATACTTTTACCCACTTCTTTTGTTGTTGTAGTACTGGCTTTAAAATTGTATGTCACAATGGAAAATTGAACATGTTAAAATGTTGCTTTTGGTTAAAGTTAATGTTTATTTTATCATTTTAATAATTTTAAAAGGTCTTAGATCATATGAAAGTTGAATTCTTGGTTACATAAATGGATAAGACATTATGACACATTTCAGTGCTTCACTAAAGAATAAAATAAGCTTCTTCTTGTTAGGGTCCACCTCATAGTCACCTTATGTACAACAGAAGTAAACACTGCCCAGTCCTGTGTCATCCTCATAATTGTTACATTTGAACCCATTGTTGCGGCCACTGTGTTAGTCCATCTCACTGGCAGCTCTTCTTTGCCACTGACCTGCTCCTTTACCAGAGAAAGATGTTTTTCTCCAGGGACTGGTCCCTCCTCATAACACATCCAAAATATGAGAGATGAAGTCTTGCCACCCTGGCTTCTAAGGCGCATTCCGGCTGTGCTTCTTCCTAGACAGGTTAGTTTGTTCTTCTGGCAGTCCATGGTGGTGGTAGTGATGGTGTGCCGTGGAGTCGGTTCTGAGTCATAGCGACCCTGCATAGGGTTTCTGAGGCTATAAGTCTTTACGGAAGCAGAAAGCTTCATCTTTCTCCCACAGAACGGCTGGTAGTTTCAAACTGCTGACCTTGAGGTTAGCAGTCCTACTAGTAACCACTATGCTACCAGAGCTGCTTTCTTGCAGTCCACAGTACTTCTAATATTGTTCTCCAACACCATAATTCAAACGTAGCAATTCTTCTCCTGTCTCCCTATTTCGTTGTCCAACTTTTACATGCATATGAGGCTATTGAAAATTCCATGGCTTGGGTATTTAGGGTATTGAGGAGCCAGCTCTTCCCCCCCCCCAATCATATTTGAGTGCCTTACAACTTCAGGGGTCCATCCTTCCAACTTAAGGGGCTCATTTTCTTGCACTATATCTGACAATGTTCCACTGTCATTCATAAGAATTTCAATGGTTAGGCAGTCAAAAGTGGTCTGTCTCTCATTCTTTCTAGTCTGTCTTAGTCTGGTAGGTCCTCTGAAATCTGTCCACCATGGCTGACCCTGATGGTATTTAAAATATTGATGATATAGCTTCCAGCATCACAGAAACACACAAGTCATCACAGTCTGACAAACTGACAGACGAGTGGTGGGTAAGATAAACCAAACATCATTTTAAAGCTACTTTGAAGCTTTTACTTCTCGCTTACTTCCTGTTTTCAATTAACCACTAAAACTTTTCCAGTCCATTTCTCAGATACTCTATTTTAAGGTTTGTGTCACTTTTCGCCATTTCCTGTTTCACTTTTCTGCAAAGGCTTATTATTATCTGAAGTTTAGATTCTTCTGTTACCCCTCATGAGTCCTCCAATCTGTTCCTCCTCTAGAATATCATTGTATTTTTCTGATATAGAAAGATATATTTATTGTCTCATTTTCTTGCTTAAAGCCCTCAGGGATTTCCCCATTGTTTATTGGAAAAGTCATAAATACATAAAACTATTAAAGCTGTTTACATCTCATACTCATCTGTTATCCTTTTCTTCCCAGCCAAGGCAAACTGAAAGTATCTTTTGGAATCTTTCATTTATTTTGCTCCATCTGGACTCGGAAATTTTGCACATGGTTTTCTCTTTAAAGCAGTCTTTTTCCTGCTCTTTTTTTATCTAAGAATAGATCAATCCTATTCTTCTTTCTGAAAATACCAGAAAGAAGTTTACTTGTGCTTTATTAACTATACAAAGGCGTTTTTGACTGTGGGGATCATGACAAACTATTGATAACATTGCAAATAATGTGCATTCCATAATACTTCATTGTGTTCATGAGAAACCTGTACATAGACCAAGAGGCAGTTCTAAGAGCAAAACAAGGGGATACCAAATGGTTTAAAATCAGGAAAGGTTTGCACAAGAAAGTTGTATCTTATCATCATATTTATACAATCTGTATTGAATTCAATCTGAGCAAATAATCCAAGAAACTGGATTATATGAAAAACTTGACCTCAAGACAAGAAGAGGCTCATTAACAGCCTGTGCTAAGCAAATGACATCACCTTTCTTTCTGGAAGTGAAGAAGCCTTAAAATACTTAATGATGAAGATCTAAGACTATGCCTTCACTATGGATGCACCTCAAAGTAATAAAAATGAAAACCCTTACAAATATATCAATACGTAGCATCATGATAAATGGAGAAAACATTAAAGTTATCAAAGACTACATTTTGGTTGCTCCACAATCAACACTCATGGATGCAATGGGCAAGAAATCAGAGGATGTATTCCACTAGGCAATTCTGCTGTCAAACACCTGTTTAAAGTATTAAAGAGCAAAGATGTCAGTTTGAATATTAAGGTGCACCTGACCTCCTAAGCATGTGAAAGTTGGACATTGAATGAAGAAGACCATAGAAGAATCGATATACTTGAATTATGATGTTGGGGATACCCAGACGAACAAACAAATCTGTCTTAGAAGAAGTACAAGCCAGAATGTTCCTGAGAAGTAAGGATGGCAAGACTTTGTCTCCCATTCTTTGGATCTGTTACAGGAGGGAAAAGTCCCTGGAGAAGGATTTCATGCTTGGTAAAGGGAAGGATCAGCAAAAAAGAGGATAGCTTCCAGTAAAATGGATTGACAGAG